AGTGCTCACCACCGTGCCTGGCACACAGTAGGGACTGTCTTTCGCCTGTCTTGGATCCCCAGTGCTCACCACCGTGCCTGGCACACAGTAGGGACTGTCTTTCGCCTGTCTTGGATCCCCAGAGCTCAGCACTGCGCCTGGCACACAGTAGGTGCTTCATAAATGCCGGCAGTCTTGGCTTTTCCATCTTCCCAGCCCTCGCCCTAGCCCAAGCCCTCGCTGGTCTCTGGTCCCCCAGTCTCTCTTCACCACCCTTGTAGCATGGGAACTGCCACCCTCGCCCTCTTCCTGTCACCCACACAGTCCCGCTACGGCCACGTGCCCTGACAGGCGGTAGGGAAGCTGGCCGCAGCAGCGGCTCCGGGTTCAGAACCTTCTCTGGCTCGGCATCTCCCAGCACCCGGCTTGGGGCTCCTTTTAAAATACTGCTGGTTTCCTCTGTCTCGTTCTTTTAGGACAGATCGCGTGTGTTCTTACACCGAGCTCCAGCAGCAGCCCAGGCTAGGGGCATGTTCAGTAACCCATGGCGGCGCTATCCACCAAGGCCTGGCCAGGCTGCCCTGGGAGTCCAAGTGGACAAGGGACCAATCGCTGCCTGGGGTTCCCAGGAGAGGAAGAGGAGAGACTGGGGAGGGAGGAAGGAAGGCAGCATTTACGCAAGAATAGCTGGTCTGGGCGTGACAGGCTGCCCTGAGACTCTGGCCAGCCTCTCCAGACGAGGTTCGGATTCCTGGCAGTGGCCGTCCAGCGGTCAGTGACCACGTGACCCTGAAACACTCCTCCCCTCACGCCTGTCCTCCATCCATCTGGGAGGAGGGGGTGCCTCCCCCAACCATGCCCCAATCCCCAGCTGGCCCTAACTCTGGCGCCCCAGGCAGCAGCTACGTGGGGCCCACTCTGTCCTCCCACCTCACCCACACTCTGGGGCAGTGACCAGGAAAGGACAGCCCTACCCCCTCATTTTTTATCTTGGGTAGGATGAGTCACCTGGGATTGGCAAACAAGGAAGGGCTTTTATCGCCTCCTAGCCCTTATCGCATTACCTCACCCCCAAAGCCTCTTCTGAACTTCCTTATTTCTGAAGAGGGCACCCCCAGCCTCCCCAGCTCCGCACTCTCCCACCCTCCACATCTAGCAGTCTTCTCGATGCTGCCTTCCCACCTTCTCTCCATCTCTCCCCCGGCCTCTTCTGCCTTAACTGCTTCCCGGTGTCTGTAATAGATGGGGTCTATGACTGCAGGGGAACCCCTCCCGTGGGGCCCGGCCTTGCTTCTCCTGGGGGTACAGGGCTGTGAATCGGGGAAAGCCTCCTGCTGAGGCCCTCCCAAGGCCTCAAACGCACAGCAGAGGTGGGGGCGCAGGGGCCCACGGTATGTCTGTAACAGTAAACATGAGGCAGTCGGGGGCCAAGCCACGTGAGAGTCAAGCCACGGTCCGGCCCACAGAGTCCAGACACCTGACGGAAGGGATCCACGCTGGAGGGCTGTCTGCCGGGAATGTAAGGAAGGAGATGGCCCAGTGTCCCGCAGGATGGGAAGGCCCAGAAGAAGCTATATCCCTTCCTCCAACATGCTCAGTGGGCGTCCCGGCCTTTGTTATAAGTCACAGAATTTGAGGGTTGGAAGGGACCGGCCACTCTGGAAAAGAATGTGGAAGTGGGGGGCAGCTAGGTGGCGCAGTGGATAGCGCGCCGGCCCTGGAGGCAGAAAGACCCACGTTCAAATCCAGCCTCAGACACGTAACACTCACTCGCTGTGTGACTCTGGGCAAGTCGCTTAACCGCAATTGCCTCACAATAAATAAATAAAATAAAGGAAAAGAACGAAAAAAGATAATATGGAAGTGGGCCAAAAGCCACTAAGCTGTGTATGCCCTGGGACCAAGAGATAGCCCCACTGGGCCCATACCCCAAAGACAGCAAAGAAAGAGGCAGCCCTCGGTACTGCAGCAGCTCTTTTTGGGGAGGCAAAGAGCTGGATTCGGGGAGGGGGATGCCCATCTATTGGGGAGCGGCCGAACCAGTCACGACGGAACACTAGGTGCTGGAAGAAATGAGACAGGCCACGTTTCTTCTACCACAACACGGCTAACACGGAAATAGGCTTTACACGATCGCACACATGTAACCCATATCAAGTCGCCCGCCATCCCAGGGAGGGGGAACGGAGGCGGGGGAAATTTTGGGACGCAAAATTTTATAAAAAGTGAATGCCAAGAACTGTCTCAGAAAAAAATCAAATACATTAAGCAGTGATGCAGGGCATGGTTTCGGAGAAACCCAAGGAGATTTGTGCAGACAGAGGCCCTGGCATCAAGCAGCCCCGCGGCTGCTCCTGGCTCTGCCAGCTAGGGCCAAGCTGACAGAGGCCGACAGCCCGTCAGGGCTGGGAAGAAAGCTCTCCTGTCCCCCGGGGTTTCCCTTTTCCAGGATCCCCGCTTCCTTCGACCTTCCTTCGGGTGGCACAGACTCCAGGCCCTTCCCCCACTGATCGCCCCTCCTGGACACTCTGCAGCTGGCCAGCGCCCCACAATGGGCACAGTACGGCAGGGGCGGGCAGAGTCCAGAGCGACCATCACCGCCCTCTGCCGGGAAACTGCTCTCTCTCAACCCTTCTCTGCCTGCCACAGGCCACCCTGCCTGGCTCCTGCCGTACCTTTTCCCATTCACATCCGACAGCGTGGCTCCGAGCCAGCCTGAGCCCCTGTGCCCGCCAGAACGCCCACGCCAGTCTTTCCTTCTCCCTTCTGACCTCGGCAGACACCCGGCCTCTGCAGGGACCGTCCCTCCAGGGAGGCAACTGCTTGGCCTGACTAGGGCTGGAAAGTCCTCAGAGGTCACCTCGAACGACCTCTCTCATTCTACAGAAGAGGAAACTGAGACCCAGGGAGGGGCAGGGACCTGCCCAAGGTCACACGGGAAAACCAGCAGAGCTGGGATCAAACCTAGATCTGCCAGGCTCAGCCAACATTAGAATCCACAGTCTACACTACCCCAAGATGAGGTTGCAGCTAAGTGGCTTCATGGATAGAGCACTGGGCCTACAATCAGGAAGGCATGAGTTCCAATCCAGCCTCAGCTGTGTAACCCTGGGCAAGTCACTTAACCCTGTCTGCCCCAGTTTCCTCATCTGTAAAATACGGGGAGAAGGAAAGGGCATCTTTGTCAAGAAAACCCCAAGTGCGGTCAGGGAGAGCCGGACATAACCGAACAACAAAACATGACGTCGGGCTGGGCGATCTCTGAGGTTCCTCCGGGCCCTCTCAGAGGAAGGAGCTATGTCCCAAGACACCGAGGAAGCCGGGGAAGACTGCATCGAGATGGCAGCCGCCAGCTGCGGTTCAGCGTTGCAACACAAGGGGCCCGGGCTGGGTCGGATCCCTGGCGATGCCCCAGGGGAGGTTTCGAAAACAAGGCTGTGGTGGGGAGCATAGTCAGTAAGTCAGTCTGCTGACCTTGATTAAGCTTCCGTGAAGGACCCTGTCACAGGCCGAGCACGGCGCCAAACGCAGGTGACATGGAGAGCACCGCTCTCTGGCGCAGGGAACGGGAAGGACCCTGCATCTCAAGCTCACTGGGGCAGGCACGAAGGGTGCCCCTGGGCCAGGGACCCCAGCCACTCTGGCCAGGGCAGGCAGCAAGGATCCAGGCCTGGACCACTGCTTTGGGGGGTGATGAACGTTTGTTACAAGAGGTTGGCCTTCCACCCCCTCCCGTGCCCCCCAGGAGGGGAGGTGGGAAGGAGAGAAAACAAGTCTTGTGAATTAAAAATAGACAGAATGTAATGGGAAAAAAAAAGGGCACGGAGTCACATGGTAGAAACAGGCCTGGATTTGGTGACACTAGGCCCACGGTAAGTCAGTCAACAAACATTCATTAAGCACCTTCTAGGTGCTACAGGGAGACATCTAAGAGGCGGCACAGCGGATAGGGCATGGGCCTCGAGTCAGGAAGACCGATTTCAAATGTGGCCTCCGACACTTACTAGCTGTGTGACCCCCAGATGGCTTCTAAGCTGCCTCCCTTCCTGCCTTAAAATCTTTAAAATCAGTCAGTCCAATGCTGTGAGAGGACCCTGGGCCAGTCACTTCATGGCTCTGCCTTTGTTTACTCCTCTGTAAAATGGGGATGCTGGGGAGGGGGGCAATCAGTAGGGCAGCACCTTCCTTCCAGGGAGGAAGACTAGCCCAGAGGACCCGGGTTCAGTCTCGCCTCTGCCACTAGCCCTGGTGGAACCTTGGGCAGGATGCTCACCGTCCTGGAGCCTCAGTTTCCCCCTCCAGTATCCTGAAGTCATTTGTTGGCTGCTCTACACTCCATTCGGTCACCTCCCACTGCTAGAGACCCCTCTCCCCCATTTTACCTATCTGGGCCAACCCTTCCCCCCATTCAGTCTGCCCCAGCCATCTCAGCTCCCCAGCCTCCAGCATCTACGAAATGGGGACAAGAGTTAAGGATGCTCAGAGGCCCCCGCCCCACCCCCACCGTAGGTCCTGTGGCAAACAGAGACAAACGGGCAGCTCCCAAAGGAGGGGCTGGCGCTGGGGGACTAGAAGCCGGGGGGAGGGGTGGGGGGGGGGGGGGGGGGGGGGGGGGGGGGGGTTGACTGAGCAAAGGAGGGTCCCCCCAACTCGGGAGAGGCTCTGGGCTGCCCAGGTGGGGAATGGGGGGGATCACCGGGGCCTGGCAGATGGGGGACCGCCGGCTGCCCAGGTGAGGCCCCCGCCCTGCAAGGGAGCCCCTCTTCCTGCAGGTGAGCCCCCCCACAGGTGAGCTCCCCCCACTCACCCAGGTGAGCCCCCTTCCTCTCCTCCCGTGAGCCCCCTCCCCCACTCACCCAGCTGAGCTCCCCCCCCTTCTCACGCAGGTGAGCCCCCCTCCCATGAGCCCTCTCCCCCCACTCACCTAGGTGAGCTCCCCCCCGTCCTCATGCAGGTGAACCCCCTCCCCCACTCACCCAGCTGAGCTCCCCCCCCGTCCTCACGCAGGTGAACCCCCTCCCCC